CCCCAAAACCCCAAAACCCCAAAACCCCGTACAGTTATTACGTAATTGATTCACAATTTTAATTGGATTAACAGAGTTTTCTGACTCTTTGTTCGATCAGCATTCTGGCATGGTCGATATTTCTTTGCCTCGTTTCTATCTGTTGGGCTTGGTTGGATGAGTGGAGTGGAGGGTGGATTGTACTCTCAATCTCTGAATTCTGGAGGGGGAGGTCCGAGGAATACTTGTGAATGGAAGGATTGGCCTTACGTTCTTCCCATATGTGAGGCGTCCTTGGCTGTGGAGAAGGTGTTGTTAGTTCAGGCAGGATCTGGACTTTGGAAGAGGGCTTTTTGGGCTTGAAGTAGGTAATGATCGATTTGAACAGGAAGATGAGCGAGATTAGAGAGCCGATGAGGGGTGAGGATGTGAGGATGGAGATGTAGAGGGTTTCATAGAAAGCAGTCCAGTCGGATTTAATGTTAAGCCAGGATAAGGGAATGGTAAGGCAGCAGAATAGGATTTGATTGATGTTTTCGATCATATTGTCTTGAGGGTTCTCGAAAGGTCGGATAATGAGAAGGTATACACCATACAGGATGTTTATTGAATAGAAAGCAGTTGCTCTGTAGAAGGGGCTCATTGTCTTTCCAAAGATAATCAGGGAGATTAGCATTAGTCTCACAAGCAGGAATATTGTAGAATAAAAATTTGAGTATTTCTGAGATCTCACTCCATTAAAAAACTCCTTGCATGTCCAATATTTCTCATTGTCTACTTCAGGGAATGATTTTGCGTACATGTAGAGGGAAAGCAGGAGTAGGGATGTAGAGAGCAGGGTGAATAGGGATGATAGTAAGAAGGAGGCTTTGGTGGTGGTGGTTTTGAGGTTCATGTTGTAGAGTTCGGAGAGTGATCATAGGATTATGAAAACAAAGGATTGGATGAACATTCTGATGTAAATATTGAAGGTGAAGAATTCAAATAGCTTGCCGGTAGCCTTCTTAAATTTCTCGTTCTCTGATTTATTTGCTCACTTCTTGCAAATCAAGACTCAAGAATTAACCATAATTATCAATCCCACAAAAGCTGCTAGTGATAAATAATTCACTATCGAGCTCCCAGAACTCATACCAAGACTCTCCAAATACTCATCAGTTTGCGGATATTCCATCCACCCAGTAACAACCTCAACGCCAGGAGCATCTCCAATCCTCACAAAATCAAAAGAGAGCATCGAGAAGCTCATACCATCCAAGAAGTCCATTACTTTCATTGAGAAGTACTCTGGAACCATCGGCAACAACATTGCTAGCTGCAGACTATTGATCATACTGAAAATGGAGTTTATGGAGGAGAAGGAGAGGATAGAGGAAATACTAGCCATAATTATGCTAGCTGCGATTAAGGTGATGGCTGTAGTAGTGGCGAGGGTAGGAGCTAAGGTTGAGGAGCAAGATTTATGGTCGTTTGATAATTGGAAGTTATCTTTGCATGATTCTCATGTTGTTGGTTCTCCGAGTTTTCAAGTGTCACAATTAGAGATTTTTCATTCCTCTACAGTTATTTCAAACTTCTTGTAGTGTTCTTCACTACCGAAAGAAATCTGAAGAGTGAAATAAAATGTCTCAGAAGCATTGAGCATTGGAGTCTTGTTCAAGTAAAGCTCTTGGGTTGGAGCAGATAGATGGACCCAGTCAGGGAGGGGGTTGGTGCTGTTTGGGTGAGACTGAAAGATATTTGGGTGGGGTTGGAGGAGGGAGATCAGGCCCATGTGAAGGTTAGGTTTGTGAAGTAGTTGCTAGGGACAGATTGGAGGTGGTCTTCGTTCCAAAGAGCTACGGAGGTGGTGGTAGTAGGGCTGATTGCTGATGGTAAATTTTCGCCTGTTATAGAAGGTGTAGTTGGGATTTCAGCTATCTTGGAACTTGAAGTCAAACTCGGATCCGAAATAGTGGAACTTACTTGATAATTAGTAGTAATTTGAGTGAATAAGAGATCCCCCTTCTCAAATTGTGAGAGTTGATTAATGTTGGTTATTGGAGATCTTGCAAAAAATAATTTATTACTTCCAGAATAACCTCCACAATAATAAATAACTTCTATTTGTAGACTCATTGCTCTTGCAATGCCGTAAACACTCGGATTAGTGGATTCAAATTCTTGAATTACATTTGTGTTGGCAATATTTATCTTGATAAGTCTAAAAGGTTGTTGAAATGAAGAGCTATGAATTTGGATGGCTATAAAATCATTGAACTCTCTCATCGAACAAACTCTCCCAGCACTGTTAGAACTAGAGATAAAACCAGGGTTTTGTGGAGATCCATCAGTAGCATTGAGCTTATAAAATAAGAAATGCTCATCATAAACAATCATTGTAAAAATTGCTCTTCTATCTTTACTTAAAATAAATTTACCAAGCGCACTTTCTCAATCTGAAGGGAGTCAAGCAATGCTTTTCTTCCAAACAAGATTTGACGTGTCAGAAAAATTATAGGCAATAAAATAGTGTTGGTCAAGAGCAGAGTCACTTGATGAAACGAATAGAGTCTCATTGCTAATTGGAACAAAATTAGATTGCTTGTTAATCCCAAAATTAACTCAATTCAAATTAGTAGTTTCTCTATCCCATTTGCATGTTTCTATAACTGAGCCACTTTCCATGTTAAAGTACAAGCTGCCATAAACCTCTAAGTTTGAGAAACCAATAGAATAGCCAGAAGTACCTGATATCTCTCTTCTGATACCAAGGTCATTAGTTTCGATTTCATAGATTGTGGGTGTTGGATTTATACCAACAATATAAATAAAATTTCCGTTTGTAGCAATAGCAAATCCGCTCTGGGTTGACTGGAATTCATATTTCTTTGCTTTCTTCTTTCTCAAGTTGTAGTCTGTCTGATAGATAATTGTGAAGCTTGTACCGTCAGAGTATTTTCCAATAAAATAGAGAGATTCTTGGTCAGGATGCTCAAGAATACCATAAAAAACTGAGAATGTGCTTGTAGATATTTCAATACTTCCTGAAATTGGTGCTTTCATGGTTTGTTGATCATTCTGACATGTATTCCCAACAGAAAGAGTGATTAACAGGGATAAGAAAAAGATTTCCTTCATAATCGAGTATTTAATTTATTATTTATTCAGTTTTCCTCCGTTTAAATGGGGTTTTGGGGTTTTGGGGTTTTGGGG